CAAACCCAACAAATTAAGATTATTTAGTTCTTACTAAACCCAACACTGGCTATTGCAGAGTATAATGGTGGTGTTCCAAAAGGTATTTTGAGAACAATAGACTAAATACTTCTGCAGGACTATAGTCACTTAGTTAATGTTCCCATAGCTCTAACATGCTTGTTCTTTTAATACAAAATATTATTTGTAATTACTAATGGAATTTGCTAATAAACATGGTTAATAATGAAATATAACTACACACAAACTTAGCTTTTTCACTGCATTTTAGAGACGTTTGTAAATACCATCAGTATATTTTGACAACTACTTTCAGGAAACAAAGATATGAGGTGCCCTTAAAGAAATGTTCTGAATGCTTTAAAACATCCCAAGGTTTAAAATAATTTGTTTTACTTTTAGCAGGAACCAAACATGAAGGGAGGAGGATAATGCAAACCAAACAAGAAGGACACATGGCCAGGCATGTGGCCCTGGCACAGCAGGACATGGGCAGACCAGAGAGGTGGGCTGGGTGGCAGATGGGTGCTAAAAGCAGCAAGCCCAAGTCACCACGTGCTCTCTTTATGACATGCCAAAATAGAGGGATATCAGTAAACTCCCCTATGGAAATAGTATTCCAGAATAAAAGGAAAGAGAGACCCCACACAAGGACTGATCCAAGCACAACTACAGCAGGGTAAGGATTTTGTTATAGTCACATCAAGAAATCTCACTGTGTCGCTAAAACCTCCAGTCCAACCTTTGCACAGAGGAAATTACCTTTTTGCTCCAACATACAGCAGCATCTAACAATACATGATAATGTTGAGAACACCCAATGCACACATAGGCCCAGACAACTTAAAACCAGAAGTTTTCTCCTTTGTTCTGCTCTGGCTATAAAATACACTTCTGATTTTTTTCTCCCCTCTCAACATTTTTAAACATGACAAAGAAAACCAACTGTTTCAAAATTGTTCACATAAAGCAGAACATTATTATATGACATTCTTTCCTAGAAATCTTTTAAGTCTTATTTATTAACAGAATTAGTCTGATCAGAAGCTGGCTGACACACAAAGTGTTGAAATATGTCATCTTCAAACCATGCTTTGCTAATGAAATTTTGGTGTTAATTCGGGGGATATAACAGAATCCTGGGATCTGGAATGAAAGCCAAACAACAAATGTGGTTCCTTTGGCAAAAAAGCATCATTTTCTCCCTTTTCTGTTGTGGGTTTGTCACTGCATGCTCTCCATCATCCATTTCTTTCCAGAATCTACTTTTTGATGTGGAGTCCCCACTTGGCCATCAAGTTCTACATTAAAATGCTCTGAACATGTTTTGCAGTTCCAACCCCAGGAACTGTTTTGCACTTTAAATCCCAGCATCCAAAGGGATTTCATAAAAATAAATAAAAATCCTAAGGCTGGGATTTCATAAACAACCTCAAGGTATCTCTACAATTCAATCAGCCTTATGCTGGTGCCAAGTCCAGCCAGCAACCACTGCCCAAAGCAGCAGCATGGTCAGGTAAATGCTCTGACCATTTTTGTCCAGCTCCAGGTTGTTGCGGCTAGATTGCTACTGGGATGCCAGAACACTCTTAAATTTAACCTTAATAAGTTTATATTACACCTCAACGACCAGCGTAGCTCCTGCACTGCATTTGGAGGAATTCAGCACCCAAACCCTGACTGGAGGGTGCCTTCTGAAACCTCAGTCTGAAGCATCACAAATGGGTTAACAGACGTGGCAATTTAAGCAGCTTTTCCAAGCATCTGCAGGGCATTAATATAATTGTGCTAATCCTATGGTCTAAACCAATGGTTCCTGATCTTTGAAGTGCAAGCACATCACAGGAAAGGTATGGCACAGAGACCAGGTGAGCTTTGCTGGATTTGCCCCATGCCAGGCCAATTCCAGTGTCCTTGTACTCCGCTCCAAAGAATACAAGTCCTGGTAAGTTCAAAGGAAAGATATCTACTGAAGGGTGAGCTGTGTTTTGGGGATTATTCTGTGCCAGCGGTGTCGTAATCTCAACAGGCTCAAACTCAACAGCAGAGGAAAGGCAATGACAGGAGTCCATCAGTTGCTCAGTGCTGTGTCAGACCACTGCTGCTCAGCTCTTTGCTATTAGACATCACAACTCCATGGCATTCAAACTGGTTACCTTATAACCCACATGAAAGGAATGCAACGAGCCAAAATTTTATCCTGATTTTATGACTCTGACAGCACAAAGTCTGACTTGCCTTTAGGCCAGATAAATCACAGTGTAATACAGAATGCCAAGTACTCCAAGCATTTGCCTCAAACTAACCCAAAATGAAGCCATCCGAAACCAAAAAGGGTTGCTCAGATTGGGTTTTTAGGTTGTCAAAAGCAGCAAAATGTTCTTAAAGGTTTCTTTTGTTCTTTTTCACTAATGTTTAAGACACTACTTTAAAAAATAATCAACATTAAGGAGCTAGATACAACTGTGAAATAACAATGTAGAAGTCTCCAACTAGCAAAGTGAGTCAGAAAATTGAACTGACATCAAAATCATGTGTTACGGCATCCACATCTGGATATCACTTTACTGACGACATCCAAAATTTCTTGGAGAGCTACTTGGGTTCTGTAAAAGTGTATTTCTCCCTTTGAAAGGAAACAATAATTGGAAGGTCTTACAGGAAGTCACTCAATACCATAGAAAGGAAATTGCAATGTGTTCCTCAATGTTAGTTTAAATCAATGTTATATTTAGCAAATGCCCGTATTTTAATGATAGTCTTTTTAATAGGTTCTACCATATCAAGTCTACTCAAAGGCTTATGCTAGATTAAGAGTTACTTTGGTTTTAGAACGTCTTTAATCACCCTGTAAGGTCTTCAGCTTGCGCTAGGATAGATGCCGTTCCCCATCCCCAGCACATCTAGGACTCCGCTTCCACCAAAATGAATGTTTTTTGCCCCAAGCTAATAAAAAGCAAAGCATTTCTGCACATGCTCATCTAGAAGTATGTGTGGTTCTTGAAAATACAAAGTGATTGACTATTAAAACCACCTCTTTCTGTTTCCAGAAGTATACACAGCAGTTTACCTTCCTAAGAATTTTGTCTTTGGGTATTTGGCTTTCAATAAATTCCATTAAATCAGTGGTTTCACTTGAATATTTTTTAGAAGTACAACAGTAGTGATACTAAGCAAAGTTCAAGAACTCCAAGGATAACAGTTCCTGTAACTACGTCCCCAAGTTGACCAAATCCAACAAAACATAATTGCAGCCCCAGTGCTAAAGACTCTGGGACACTGCTCAGAAACCCTGTGCAGAATTCCCCTGTGGTTTTTATGTATTTCGTTACATTGTGAAGCAATAACATCAAAATTAAGTTTAGAACACAGATTTGTATGGAGAAGGACTCCATACAACTTGTAATCCTTAGTGTTCAAAAATTGTTGTTACCAACAGCTGAATTATTTCCACTGAACGTAACTTGGCTTAAGTGAATCCGTAAATTCCATAGCAGCATTTGGACCAGGAGCTAAGAAAAAAGCTGGTAAATGGCCTAAACCATGTTTTTCAAATATATAACTCAAGAAGGTACCCTGCATGATAACGTGAGTTACAGAACATTTCTGACTATATTGAAGACTATTCCCCTGTCTCAGGGTTTCTGTGTATCTAGATGGCTACTGGAAAAGTGTAGAACTACAAAGAGACCATATTCCCAAGTGGCAAAAATTCACCTGTATCCCAAAATAATACGATTAAAATATGTTCTATTTGCAAGCCTAGTGATAATAAAACCACCTCTGGTGATTCAATTTGGAGAACAGATTATAGCCAACATTGTGATGGTTATACCCTTGACAGAGGAAACTAAGGAATGATCAGAAAGAAAAATGACTTCCTCAACAAACACACAAATAAAGGCAGACATCTTCCTTAAGGAAAAAAAATCATTAAACAATGTATGAAAGAAAGGAAAAAGAACACTCTGCAGATGATGAGATAGAAATGTCAACCTAATTTCGTTATGCAAATCATTCACAACACTAACTGCATCATAATTGAACATCACATGATTCCAACATGTAAAAACTCCATCATTTCTTTTCAGCATAGAAAGTTAGAATAACTATAGCAGTTCATTTTTCCAGGAGATTCTGGATTTTACAACATCATTCTTTGTTTGGTACTAGTAAATGTCTTTGCTAAGAAAATAAAAAGAAATTTCCTTCTTCCATACAACTTCTAATGAAGTGCTTTTGTTGTCAGCCCTAGCAGATTGCATAGTTTCAACTTTTTCCATTGCTCTTCACTAGTCTGAAAGGAAAAGTGTTTAAAAATGATTCTGCTTGCTTCTGCAGGTGGGATTCTCTGCAGTCACTTTGAATCAAGATGTCAAAGCAAGAAGAAGCAGAGTCCAAATACTCAGAACCCATAGCCTCTTAAAGCTTCTTTGGCAAAGGCCACAGAACACAACTCTGATGCAAAATATGTAAAAATCTAATGGAAAAAAGCTGTAAATGACAAATACTTTATTCCATTCATACCTAGCACAGATTTTGCACAGCTTTCAATGGAACCTAAGAACATGCTTTCTTTCATTGCAGCCTTAAACGTGAAAGTTAGGAAAGTCTTGTAAAACCAAGCTAAAGCCTGTGCCATATTATGGGCTCTCCTATTTTCACCTTTTTTTGCCAAGTACTAAAAGCACTCATATAAAGGTGCTGAAAATACATTAAAATATCTGAGTCAATATTAGAAGAAAGGGAACAGGAAAGTTTGAAGTATCTGACTGAAGTGGATGGATTAGACTCGCCAGACCCAAAGGTTTTATGCAGGCGTATGATCAGCTAGAGGAAAGAGAGCCTGAGTCATCAGATACATCAAAGTCGAGGTCCAGTGAATGGAATTAGTGTGTGCTGTGTGAACAGGAACGATACCTGCATTCATCTGCCCACTGCAGAACTTTTAATTACACTCAAACAGCCAGTAGCATCAGTGACTGAAATCCCCAGATTACCTTGATTGCTCTGTCATTATCTGTAATCAGCTGCTGCTTCTTATCTTCAAACTTTTGTACAACTTCCTGGAGCCGCTGCTCTGTGGCAAGCTGCTGCCGGCTGCTCTCCTCTGTCAGAGAGGAAATGGTTGTCTTAAGTTCAGCTATGATCTAAAAAGAAAACAGCATGCTAAATCTCTCTTCAGTAAAAGGCATGTATTTTGCATGTTTTTATGCTGCTCAGTACAAGCATGGCACTGGCAAACTCTGCTGCACAAGCTAAATAGTTTAAATTAACATATGACACACTAGCAAGCATGAAATTCCAAGCAGAGAAAAGGAATAGAGTAAAGCTGCAAATGACAAAAATTGCTGAACACAAAATATTTGGAAGAGTTTTCCACTACGACATTCCAAAATATTTACTCATGAGAACAAAGCACATCTGTGATCTTCAAAACAGAGCATGTTTCCAGGCTGCCACTGCTCTGAAACCAGCAGTGCAAATTCACATGGTGGTTGTGGTGTTTGGGTACTTTAGAGCTTGAGACTTGACACTGCAGAGAAGGAAAACACCCACATTTACATACTGCAGTGAAATTTAAACTTGATAGTGAAAATTTGGGAGCTGCTGAAAGGAGCATATTCTGCTTAGCAATACAGTGGGGACCTGATTCAATGCCCAGGACCCTTAAACCAGATCTTTGACATGATTCGCTCATGATTTATTGAAATGTACTTGTTTCACCTTTTTTATCACTGTGAAAAGTCATAACTAAACCTGATCCTTTCGGCATATTTACAGAATTTTATGCTGACACGTCATCACCCAGCAAAGCACTTAAACATATGGGAGAGTCACTGACTTTAATGTATATATGCAAGCTTAAGGTTAAGCTGCTGTAGCAGCATAATATAGTCGCATTCTAAAAACGCTTCAGCACAGGGCAGTTGAGGGAGGGACTACAGAGTGCTTGGACCTGTGTGTTTGCAAGGCCTCCCCTTTGGTAGAGAAACACTGAAATATATTAAGGCCACAGTTAGGAAAAAAAAAGGTGTTTAAAAACTGCTACTAGGACATGACTAACATAATAAGAAAGATGCTACAAATGAAGGTATTAAATCACTGAGGAAGGGAAAAAGGACTGATTATGACTCTACTGAAAACTTAATTCGCTGTTTTACTACCTGAAAACCTAAGAGAGTAACGCAGAGTAAAACCTACATAGATATTTCTGCATTCCTTTTCTAAAACCAAGTATGTATTAACTAATACAATACATCAATTAAAAGCAAGGCTATTAATGAGATCAGCGTGCCAAAGTTTAGAGATTATCTGGGTAGGTGTAACTCTTTAAGAAAAATTAAGCAGTAACACAGATTTTGCAATTTAGGTCATCATTCAGCTGACACATTTTGCATAAATTTGGCTTTTTTGGTGTGTAACCACTTATACAGATCATATAAAACCATATAAAATATTAAGATAACAACTTGAAGCCATGCAAACCTCTAACAAACCCTTTAATAAAATACAAAGTTGAGATTTAAAGCTTTGACTGGGTTAAGACCTGGGGCTCGCACAGGAGTTCTGCAATGCATGCGAGAGAATTTCAGCATGAATTGATGGAGAAAGATGTCCTTTGTGCAGTGCTTTTCAGAGGAAAAAAATATCTGTTTACTTTGTATAAACTTCAGAGGAAATTTCTTGAAATCTCTCCTCTGTGTGGGTGTTAAAAGTGAATGTTCCAAGAGGCCACAGAGAGTAAGATTAGACAGATGTTGTCAGCAACACGACCACAAGAAAAGTTGCAATTGACCTATTATTAATACTGAGCTACAAAACCCCCTGTGTTCAAGTAACTTCAGGGGTTTGATTCAAACCCACTAAAGTAAAGAAACTCAGACATCAGGGTGAAACTCCTTTATTGTGCCAAATAGCCCTGACACATGATGTATGTGTTGTGTCTGCCACCGAAAGGAGGGATGCCAGTTTTGGCCATTGAGGCCATCTCTCCCCAATAAAGAGAACAGTGTGTTAGCTACAGCAATGCCTAGCTTAAAGAAAAGAAAGAAAATCTCCACGTTTTTCCTTTTGAGACTATTCTACAGGCCAAAACGTTTTAGTCTGACAAAATTCATTATGATATTGAGGTTAAATAGTTACTACCTTGCACCATGGCACCTAGGTGTTGCCACTGTAACAATTACAGCAATTTCCCTCAGCCCTTGTTCAAAACATGCAGAAAGGCTTAAATTATTAAATGCTTCTATTCCATCTGTCTTTAACAAATGGACCAAGACCCAATTTTGTATTGACAGTAAACTATGCCTGGCACAGAGAGGCTGACTGATTACACACACTAGGCATGACAACAGCATGAAAATGACAATGACAAGAGGTAAAATAGAATCAGCAATGAAAGGGATCTCTTCCTTCAGGTCTGGCATGCATTAAATGTTACTTTTTGAGCTGAATCATTTTACTGCTATTCAGGTGGCAAGATAAACAAATGAGGGGAGGTGTTGGGTTTCCTCTCTTTCTTTCTAAATAAGGCTTTCAACAAATTATTAAAAGGCATTTAGGAGAGCATCCTCTCCAATGTATCACAGAATCATGGAACTGGTAAGGGCAAAAGTGTCACCAGAGCTGGTTGCTCAGTCAGGTTTTGAGTATCTCCAAGGATGGAGACTCCACAATCTCTCTATGTGCAGAAAATACAAATTCGGTTTTAGAAGTATAATGGAAAAACTTATTTACTGATGATTCTGATAAATGCAGTGAAAAAAATGTAGTGTGAAAAAGCAATAATCCAATGAACTTCGGTGAAACAACTAAAGTCACAATTTGGACAAGTGCTACAGAGACTCAGAAGTAGCCAAAAAACTTAAGTCTTGTGTTTTAGCAAGTGTTGATAAACCAGTAAAGTTTATAGTTTCTTGTTATTGTCTCACTGATCACTTCTGCCTAGGTCAGAGGCCTCTCAGCCATTCTTTGCAGTGATTTTATTGATTTTTAAAGAGTATTATTAGACTATTATTACTATTGCTGAAAACACACTTTGCAAGTGCAGGCGTTCTGCTGTGGTTGGGAGGAATGAGAAGAATGACACCTCCACATAAAACCTCGTGGCAATTTTCTTATTATTAAAAGCTTAACTTCTGGTTGCATCTCCATCAGTTTTCACACTTCAGTATTACCTGTCAATCAAACTGAAAGCTGGAATATTTAAAAATCATCCTGTCTTATCATTTTTAAGTATATATGTAAATTCAACACACATTTTCATCTTCCATGTTCAAAGGGCTACTCTGAAGAACAACAACTCATGTCAAACCCAGTTTGCTTTCAGGACCCTGACACTCTTCAAAGTGCTATTTTGGGCAGAAATGCTGAAGGGCCTAGGAGCAATGATGTACGTGGAGATGGCAGAATTGGGAACGCCGTCCTGCCATCGGCTGTGCTGGCAACCACCACCTTGTAACATGAAATGCAAGTCCTGGTTGTTTGAATGTTCCCGATTTTACAAGATGAGCTGGTTCACATGGCACCTCACCTTCCCACTGACTGAGGGAGGATTCAGACCTCTTGAGTGCTCAGGAGATGAAAAAGTAGGTGGTTGGAACACCTCTCCTGTGAAGACAGGCTGAGAGAGCTTTGTTCACCCTGGAGAAACGAAAACTCCGGGAAGACCTTAGAGCAGCTCCAGTGCCTACAGGATCTACAAGAAAGCTGGAGAGGGGCTTTGGACAAGGGCCTGTAGGGACAGGACAAGGGGAATGGCTTGAACCTGACAGAGGGGACACTGAGATGAGCTCTGAGGCAGAAGCTCTTCCCTGTGAGGGTGCTGAGGCGCTGGCACAGGGTGCCCAGAGGAGCTGTGGCTGCCCCATCCCTGGCAGTGTTCAAGGCCAGGTTGGACACAGGGGCTTGGAGCAACCTGCTCTAGTGGAAGGTGTCCCTGCCCCTGGCAGAGGCTTGGAACTGGATGAGCTTTATGGTCCCTTCCAACCCAAATCATTCCCTGATTCTATAAAATTTAGAACTCAAAAAACCACCACCCATATTTTATAGTCAGCTTTAATGCTCTGTGTTATTTGAAAGGTTAAAATCTGTAAGACACACAGTGGATTGGGAATGATTGTGGCTTGTCTTTATCATCAACAGAGCAGAAATAATTACACTTTTCATCAAGTTTCCAAATCAAACGCATTCACCTGAGGTTCCTGTCTTCTCGCTACCTACCTGCGAGGATTTAGCCAGCTTCTGACTGTACTCCTTCTCAGCCTGCTTCAGCCGGCAGTTTGCCTGAAACACACACAAAAGGCAAGCAGATTAGCTCAGACGAAGAACGTGTACAGACACTTTGCCACCGACCCCTCCGCTTGGCACCTCATCCACATGCCTATCGCGGAGCGGCTGGGACCCGCGCCAACTCCAACGCCCTTTTGTGGCAGCCAAAAAACCGCGAGGGCTTGTCTTTGATCTCAGGCCAACTATTCATCACTTGAAAGAGGGGAGAAATTGTACCTCTGCTGCCAATTATTAGAAAAACATAAAGACTTCTGCAGATTAAAAAAAAAAAGAGAGTGAGTGAGTGTGTGTGTGTGGCAGGAGGCAACACACACAGGAGTTTATTGGGGTGACTTTGTTTCTGAATGCAGGGAAGAGGGAAGGAGAAAGTCCCAGGCACAGGGACATACATGGAGGACACAACTTCATGTCTCAGCTTGGTGCCTGCAACTGCCTTTTGTCCCATTGCATGTCCCTTCCTGTTTAAAGGTGGTGATTGCACTGAAAATCAACCCGTCACACAGCTGAACCAACTGGACACCCAGCTCTTTCCTGCTCCTAGCATTTGTTTTCACAACTCGAAGATAAAGAATAGAACAAATTGAAAACAAGGCAGCTTTGTTGTATTGGAATCCAATGAGCAAATATTTCTACAATGCTGGGGAAAACAGCTCAAATAATTTCATTTCAGAAATAATTCAATAATACTAATAATTGAAAAATAAATCAAATTTCATTTCAGAGCACAACTCTGATTTGTATTTTTCTTTCAAAATGCCATGGTATTATATTGATAGAGCAGCCTCAAAACACTGTCCTTGGATGAACTGCTGAACACTCTCATGTTCTTGGCTCTAAAATTTGAGGACAGGTGTGTAAGAAAACTATTTTCTGAGGGGGGCAGGATATTAAGAAGTTGAGTTCTGAATCAAATTTAAGCTGATTAAGTTTTCAAAATCTATCTGACCTCGTGTTCAAATCTTTGATCTGTCGTCCTTAGTTTTATGACACAGCATCCAGCACGCAAACACATGCTCCATCAGCTGCCCGTGTCCCAGTGTGTGTTTTGGGGGACCACAAAAGCCAAGGAGACCCCCTCAAAGCCTCTGAACCCTGCCTGGATCCAGCTGCAGGACTGAAACTCCATGTCTGCAAACACCGGGGATTTCAGTCAAGCAAACAGTCTTATTGATTTTACTGGACTATAAATTTCGGAGCTTAAAGTTGCAGAGAGTGTTTGCGAATCACCACCAGGGTTGATGGGGCTCAAATCATCCTATGCAATCCAGGCAGTTCTGTATGGAACAGCTTAATATAAGTATATTACAGCCAGTTAAAAATAATCTTAAAGCTGTACATGATACTACAATTTAAGGTTTTGATTCCCTTCAAATTCCAAGCTTATGAAGCTCTTTGAGGTCCAGATGTCATCTGTTTGTTGGTACGATGAAATCTGCTAAAAATCAAAACCAATTCTTATCAAAACCAGTTAATCAAACCAAATCAAAACTGCCTATGCATTTTTGACAACACATGTTCTGGTTGGGTTTTGTTATAGATAGAGATAATGGCACTTCTCATTGTTTTAAAACAGCATATATGAGAATTCTGGAGCACCAGCCAAATGAAATTCTGCTTCTACATTTATCATCTGAAGTGTGCCACAAACACTGCAAGGGCATATTGTGGGGCTGCATAAATGAAGAGAGAGCAGTAACACAGAAGGGGTTACGCCAGACAGCTCTGTGTGTGCTACACTTCCCTTTGTATTCAGGCTGACCCATGCTAACACTCCTTCCTCTATTGTCTAGGTTCAGATTACGTTTTACCACCCCTGCATATCATCAAGTGTCTGAAACTGCCAGTTTATCTTTAGGGATATAAATTACAGTAATAATATAAATTGCTGTTACTCCCAGAAAGGGAGAGATACCAGTCAGCAAGCACTGCACAGAAGATCCCATTACAGCTGCTCTCACTCAACTTGCCTGGGGTAAAAGTCTTCATCTTTCATAGAAGCAGCTTTATAACCTCCTGAACTCACAGAGAAATCCCAATAAATAATAAAAAAACACTCATAACTTCCATAAACAAATTGGGAATGGTTTGTTCACACTGAACAGAACCAGGATGACCTCTGACAGACATGACAGAGGCCAGCCAAAAGATACACCGAATTACAGTGTTTTAGCCCTAACTGAAAGCAAAGAAAGTACATCCTACCAGTTATTTAAAGGCAATTATGACATCTTATTTTATACTGCCTTTAACAAATTCCAATCAGCAAAATAGATGCAAGTTGTCTTCCAGTCATCAAACAACCACAAATTAGTGCATTCACTTGCAGTCCCAAACATCTTTATTTGCGGGGTCTGATTTTCAGAAGTACTGAGCTACCAAAGCTGCCACTAGAGATGGTGACAACACATTTAGAGCAGCTCTAGCTGTCTATAACTGGCTGTATCCTGACCCTGTGGCACCAAGAACTACGGCCATGTGCTGACTTCAGCTTTTCTCTCAGATCTGTAACACCGCACAGGTCTTGCATCACCACCGACTGCACAGGTAGCACCAGGGAAGCTCTGCAGAAGCCATCAATACAAGTTACAGCACACTGGTCAGCTGCGAAGATCTAATTCATGGTGATGCACAGGAACACTCTTTTCCCTCATCTTCTTTTACTGCAGACATATAAAACTTTTCCCTTTTTAAAACCTGCAACTAAACTAATTTAATACCTCTTGCCTATAGGCTGTTGCTTTGCAGCCTAGGGAGGCATAAACCTCCTCCCCTGGGGCACATACAGCACTGCTACACACAAAAAGGCACCTTTTTACCTTTTTTTTTTGAAGGAATGGCTTACAGCAGAGTAAATACACATAGTTGCACACTGTGAACATCACAGAGGTTTTATATTACGTTTATCTTGACAAGTGCGCAGGTTCAAAATGGCCTGGTGTACACAAGCAGCAGTTTCCTTTTGTAACAGGCTGCTCTGCTCATGCATTGTATGAAGCACAAGCTGCTTCTGTATTATTTTAAGGGCATTCCCTCACTTGCAGGTTACATGCTATTTCAGAAACATAATGAATAAGAATCCAACTGGAAGGTGAACATTTGGAGGGTCAGCCAGTATTCATTAAAGTCTAACTCTTTTTATAGCGATGGGCAACGCTGCAAATAGAGTTAATGGTCTTAAACTAGTTTTCCGCATGCGAGAGGCAGCTGTTGGAATTCACACTTGGCAAAAACTTGTCAGAAATATCAATTGTAATATCCATTTTTAGAATAAAAAGGTTTAAATTGGATAAGCCATAGAGGAATTCCACTGATTCAAAATTAACTTCTGTTCAGTTTCACACAGTTAAAACATATTTTAGCTGAATTATCTGATTAGGACAATTTTACATGCAGTTATTTTATATTACAGAGTGAGGACTTTTGCATTGAAAAGATTATGTCCTTGTTACAGTTAATTGGGTTTAAAAACCAACTATAATTCTATAACAAGCCTCAAAGCATCATATTGTGGTTGCTGAGCAAAACTGCACCAACTTCAACAAAACATTTCACGTGAATATTAAAGCTGGTTTTAGCACTGGAGACGTGGTATCTGAATTAGTGGCTGCTATTCTGACACGGGCTGAGCTTCAGTTCTTCCTTCCATGAAACAGAACAGCAGTGCTAAGAATAAAAGAGCAAAGGATCTATGATGGGACCACACCATGAAAGCATACCATGTCCTCCCCGAACTGCAAAGTTCTTATATGCTATTTTTAAGGTATATGATGTATTAAAGGGGACTTTTCTAGTTCTACTTGATGGATTGCATGCCCTGAACAGCCCCAGGGGCTGCTCACCAGCGCGGTGTCAGCAGTAGCTCTGGCTGCACTATGGGGTTGGCAGGCACACGGACAACTTCATCCTCCATCAAGATCCATGAAGGCGTTGAGGACGTCTGGAATGATTATCAAAAATGCAGCTGTTGAGAATTTTCTGGAACAGCCCAAATCTGTGCAAAGGGACATGGTTTAGTGGGACTTGGCAGTGTCTGGTTTACAGTTGGACTCAATGATCTTATAGGTCTTTTCCAACCTAAACGATTCTATGACCCTGTATCGTCCAGCTTTGGAATGGTGACATTTGGATGGAAAGTTAGATTGCAGTTATGCACATAATTAACAGGAAAACTCATTCCTGCAACCCAAATATAGATAGATCTGTAAGAGTTAAAGATGCATAGAGAAATCCTGTTCATCTATCTATGAATTATAGTTTGTGACTGACTCAGTGGTGTTTCAGTTTGATTTCAATCTCCCAATACATAAACCAAAACCCCCACAAACATAACTCTCATAAACTAGAGGGGTGTATATATATGTATATATATGCACACTCAAATTCACTAATACAAAAGCAGCTTTAAAAAAACTGTTTAGGGTACTAGCTATGAAAGAGTAATTCTTTCAAAATGCCTGCAACTACCTAAATGATGGCCATACATAGGCTGATCCTCCATAATTAGTTAGATAAAAGTGTAAGCAAACTGGGGGGAAAAAAAAGAAGAAGGAAAAAAATCAAAGGGTGAGGGAAGGAGAAGAAAGAAAACTTGCTCCAGGGAAGAAGCAACTGTTCTCTGATGTGCAGCAAAGAATTTAACATCAAAGAACTAATGTAAATGGGGCCCATTTACCTTAAAAAACAACACACCACTCCACATTCTGGAATATTTCTATTTAAGTTTGACAGCATTATGCTTTGTACCAAAATTCAAGATTGTGTAATTTGACAGATGTCAAAAGAAAATGACCTTCAGGATGGCGAGCTGGAGCAATTTTTGTTATTAAGCATGTTAAACCGCTCTGTACAGTATCTGTTTAGACTTCAGAGATTAGCAGAGCACCTTTTAAGTTCATCTGATTGTACATAAAAATTTCATTTCGACCTCAAAGCCTGAAATGTGTATTTTCCTCATATACCTCTGATACCAACAGTGGGGGACTCCCTATGCCAAT